TACATTGATGATCCTTGCGGTTCGCAGGACACGTGTTGCAGAAGAAACCATGTATTTACCTGGCTCACTAAAGTGTCTCTGTGACTCAGTCGTAGTGCATTGGAGCACGAATCCAGAGGTTTGAGGGTCGCCGGATTCCCCATTGGGAGTTTAAAACTTTTTATTCACTACTTGTTCTCAAAAGACGGGAAAAAACTTGCTCTCCTTCACCACCGAACCCAAGTTTACCCTCTTGCTTATTCTTTCCATATCATCGTTTTACACGTTGTTTGTCCAGAAGAAATAATATGGCTTTGTTTCAGTTTGCTTGGTTTACCAAAAGAATTTTGCATTCCCTTGAATTTACACATCAAAAGAAAGTTGAACGGTTTGTTAAAATTAGATTGAGTAATTTATCAGACTTAAATCAATCAGAAGATGATATCAGAATGTCATGATCTAAGGTGGATTACACAGGATAGCCAACATTGAATCTGCTGTTATTAGCACTTGGGTCATCAACCACAGGACGGTGTCGAATGACATCTGCCGTATAATTTAAGGCTGTGTTAAGGATTATAAAGGCTGAAAGTTTCTAAAGAAACTGTGGTGCTACGTCGGTGGGTGTAACAAGATAATTGGTTATATCAACTAAGTTGAAATTGTAAATTGGCCACCGTAACGAATAAAAAAGCTGACGTTTCGAGCGTTAACCCTTTTGTCAGAGCGAAAGGCTAAAGCTCTGACAAAGGGCTGACGCTCGAAACGCCAGCTTTTTTATTCGTTACGATGGCCAATTTACAATTTCAGCTTAGTTGATATAACCAATTATCTTAAGGATTATAAGACAGGAAACATAAGGATAAAATTACTTCCCCTAAGGTCGTCGAAACGTCAGTCACTGCTGACCACTTTCCTTCTCTAACGCGGCTGCTCAGGGGCCGACCATTTAACTTTTGAGGGGGGTGATTTCTGGTCATCAAGAAATTTTTTTCTAGCAATCTGCTGGGCAAGATATTTTTTACCGTTCTAAATGCTCTTTTTTTCTGTTACATTTGGGCTGCATGTAATGTTTTTCTTCCAACACGCGCTTCTAGGAAATTTTTTTTGAAAATCAACCACCCCCCCTCTCAAAAGTTAAATGGTCGGCCCCTTAGACAACACGCTTTGTTGTGTATGTCACCGCGGTGACATTTCTACGAAAGCCGAGAAGGGACTTCATACTTCAGACTTCAGACTTCAGACTTCAGACTTCAGACTTCAGACTATAGACTTCAGACTTCAGACTTCAGACTTCAGACTTCAGACTTCATACTTCAGACTTCATACTTCAGACTTCATACTTCAGACTTCAGACTTTAGACTTCAGACTTCAGACTTAATAAAGGTGACTGTAGAGTTGAAGATTTAAGCCTTCACAGTCCACGAAATTAGACTTCAGACTTCAGAATTCTGTCCTCAGTCTTCCAAACGTGAAAAAAACATTTTGAATCCGTCAGTGTGCGTCATCATGTTTCGGTAAGTGAGTGTCCCTGATCCTTACTTGTTTTAATCATTCTATTTAAGACGCGAGTGAGTGGTACTTTATTTAACGTTTACTATGTTCTGAAACAGGTTGCTTCATCTTATCTTCCTTCTAAACACGCCATGTCTAGTGCAGAGCGTTTTACCTGTCTACACACCTGCTCTAAACAAACACTCTGGCTTTGAGAGAGAAAATGCAGTCAGACGCTACTTCTCTCAAGGATTTACCAACGCTGAAATTACTGGCTTTTTAGCTTTACAACATGGCATAGCACTCTCAGTGCGTACTTTAAAACGAATTTTACAACGTTTGGGACTTAAAAGGGCGAGATACGACAACGAATCGCCCCTTGAGCGAATAGTGGTTGCCATTCTGGAAGAATTGGAGAACTCGTGTGGTTCCTTTCTGGGCTATCGTCAACTGACGAGGCGCTTAAGGCGAAAGTACGATTTGCAAGTAAGAAGAGATACTGTCATGAAATCCCTTCGGGTTTTAGACCCTGAAGGAGTGGAGCGTAGTCAAAGACGTAGGCTAAAGAGACGAAGATACGTCACCCCAGGGCCAAACTTCTTATGGCATGTTGACGGATGGGATAAGCTTGCGCCTTTTGGCTTTTTCGTTCATGGCGCAGTAGACGGCTTCTCAAGGCGAATTCTTTGGTTAGAAGTCGGTTCCACGAAGAAAAATCCCAGGGTTATTCCCTCAAACTACCTAAATGCTATTCTACAACTTGGAGGGGTTCCAAGAAGGATGCGCTGTGACAGGGGAACCGAAAACACAATCATTGGCACTCTTCAACAATTTTTTCGTTGGCATGACGATGACCATTTTTCTGGAAGTGGAATTTTCATTGAAGGAAAAAGCACCGGAAATCAACGCATAGAAGCTTGGTGGTCTAAATTTCGAGAGGGTGGAGGGGGATGGTGGATAAACGTTTTTAAAGACCTCCGTGATTGTGGTTTGTACCATGACGATTACCTCGTCACGAAATGTCTCATTTTTTTTCTTGCCTATCCTTCGCCAGGAATTATATCTTGTAGCAGAGTTGTGGAATACGCATAACGTTCAGCGACAACAACGACTGGAAGTGGAGGGTGGAAAACCAGACGTCATGTTTTTTACACCCGAAATCTATGGAACACACTACTACTTGGTAAATGTGAACATCGACGATGTAAATATGTGTAAAGAGATGTATGCTGAGAATTGTGTCGACCATAACGAGGATATAGAAGAGTTAGTGAGACTGATCAAACCAGATTATTCTCCACCTTTAAATGAACGCGAGGCTCTTAAACTATACTCTGAGATTATCCAATTCCTTAAACTGGATCACCTAATCTGACAGTTGCGGTTTTCTTTCACCGCATTGTATCAGCTTTCGAACATCGTCTTGAGTTGACTCGTGTAGGAAAAGCAGAGAACAAGTTAAGATAAAGCAACAGTTTATTATTAATATTATGTTATCTGTATGTAGCATTTTCATGCCCTGCAATCAAGACATTTCAACTACTTTTTATTTAGGATAACGTTCAGAATAACTTGTCGTAACTAGAATTAATGAAAGCCTGCCATTCTAACAGAATATAACGTTGTTAGTGTTACTTACGTTGATGCAAATGTTGAATGGTCAGTTACGGAGTCTATGGATATTATAACTAAAAATCTCAACAATAGTATAACGAAAATTATGGATCGACAACCGCCTAATTGTTGTTTTTTTTTTTCGACGAGAGCCTCTAAAATTTTCATTTAAATAGCAACCATCCTGTATCTCTACTCCCAATTGCAAGTGACTGAAACACAACAAAAATCAACAAAAGCTCATCCTCTGTGATTCTGAGTCTTTTTTCTTAGTTTTCGATCATGTCTCAGTTTTGTTACGAGATTTATGGCTTCTATCACAATTACAAGCCAGTTTGTAGATCATACAATACTTAAGCAGAACCTGAAATGTAAGCTATTTTGACTTTTACTTCTTTTGACCTCTGTAGGGCTGGTTAAGATTGCTGAATAAGGATCACTCCA